TCTAAATTTTTGACTAGCTTAGAAACTTCTAATTTCTAAAAACTGCAACTTCCAAATATAGCGAAACTGCATGATATCAATGGCATCCTAGTGCATTCATGCCTTTATTTATCCTAGTTCCAGAGAAATAATTTTTTGCAGACATTTTAAATATCAGTGTTCGCCACCTCTGCTCACGTTGCATTTGAATTGGAAGACGGCCAGGTGGACGAGGATTGATGAACGAGGATGCTGTAATGGATTTCACTTTAATGGTACCGCATGCACACGCATTTGGCGTTAGTGTTTTATGCATAAGTGAGGTGACACAAAGAGATTTTTTTTTTGAGAAATGTGCTTGCAAAATTTTAAGGACTATAGTTCCAAAAATTTACTAGAACTTCATCAGCTTATGCAAGTGTTCGTTTGCTTCCTTACTGTTACCTCTCACTATTATGCGATACTCATCGCAACGTTAAATTTAAGAAAATATTCAAATTCTATCAATTCCTACAAAGAAAATCCAAAATACATCATACATTTTTTTCTGGAAAATGAACATTTCCCCATCTTTATTATCCTTTTTCGGGGCCCCGCTTTTTTATCTTTGATAGCTCAGACCATTTCCTGCAGGCTCATGTTCTTACTCAATTTAATTTTCAGCAATGGAAAGACGATGTGAACATTATCTGCCTTAGGAACAGCCCTCACCCAAAATAAGAAGCTATAGACAGCCTTGCCACAGCAGATTGATGCAGTTAACACATGCTATCACCCAAATTGTTTTCGACTGCTTTTACCTTTCAAAAAGAGCCAATGTGGGCATTTTTTTGAATGGCTTTCATAAGGTGTTTGAAGTGAATTAAGAGCTTCGATGGAAAGCACAGTGGTAGGTTCTTAGCTTTATTTTGAAGAAATTTCTATTTGTTATAGGTTACTCTTCAAAATAACCCTCATTTAAATGAATGCGGGTTGTCATTGTTTTTTAGTCAAAAGCTCAAACAGTTTCCCGAAACTTCTGAAAAACGCTTTTCATTACATTCTATTCATCGTTTCCCATTTCCGTAATAAATAGCATTTTTTATTATATATTTTCACAAACAGTCATTTTTTAGTTTTTCTAGCTTTATTTATCATCTTATCAAATGCTAATTAGACACAAGACAGCGAAAGCGATACCACATGTAGGTAGAAATGCTTTAACAAATTTATGATTGTTCTTTGTTTGTCTTTTGAATTCATAATTGCACTTTAAATGCGTTTTGGACCGATTTTTCTTCACTTAATTTTTAAAGTGTTCCGAATAGTTTTTATAAGCTTTTGCATTACTGAGAGCAATCGTATAAGTATGCATATCTATAAAAAAGTGCATGATTGTCTGTACGGGTACTCTCAGTTATGG